AAAAAAAAAAAAAAAAGATGTGAAAGACAAACCACTTGTCTTTCTGAAACGCGTTTTCTTTAAGACACAAAATTAAGAGGCACCACTCACCATATCCGAAAATCTCTAAGCCAACCCCAAACTATTGCTATTTTTTATTGCTATTAAGTCTACACTGTGGTGGTGTTTACTGTGTTGCATTACAGTTGGGCCTGTATCTCCTGAATCGCCCACTAATTTACGTGCTCTTTGAGTGCCCCGGTCTTATTCACCATTAAGGCAGCTAACGCCTGACCTGTCAGATTGTAGGTGCTGAGTAAGTATTTGTAGAATGAAGATAGCTCCTTTACGCGATGGATGGAGAAAAACCTGGCACTGATTTTAATCAGGTCTCCTGTTCTCTTCCTTATCTGTCTTGCATATTTCTTATGACCATAAACTACAAGCAGTTCCTCTTTGAAGTCCAAGTTTAGGTCCAGAGGTGAATGATTGCAAGAAAAGGCCCTGGGGAGCAAGAGGCCCTGATTGCAGCATAGTCAGGAAATAGATTATTGGGAGATGGTTGACGTTTTCTAGTAAGCCGACAGTGAACATGAGGTTTGCCAGGGTGAGCTGGAGCTATTCTGTGTTGAGATAGATGAATTATAAATACCTCAAACTGTGTCACTGGAAACGGTCCCCTCTGCATTTTCCTCTGGGAGGGCCGTGGAGGGGGAAGCAGGATCAGGCAGGCTCCGTGCACCTGCTCCGGGGCCAGCACCTCCGGCAGAGGAGGTCCCAAGAAACGCTGACGCTGGGGCTTCTGGGTCCACGTTCATCTATTTATCCCACCAGCAAGGACAGCTTGTCTCCTAATAACCAACCACTGGGACAGCTTCTTGTGGCCACAGCTGGCTTGGGCCTCCCGGGCTTGTGCCCGTCACTTACTGCCTTCCAGTTCAGTGGCACTTTGATAAACTGTGATCTGCGGGAAGGTAATCACATCCTGCCTGTGTAGGAATAGGAGTTCTTAGGCCAATCAGTATAAAATGTTTTTATTGTCCTCCCCTATTTAAGCAGTTAATAATGACCAAAGTGTGTTTTGTCTTTGATACTTGCCTTCGACCCAAGTATTGGATATTCACGTTTCACTCGGAGTTCTTACCGAGAATGGTCAAATTCTCTTTACAAGGCTTTGAACACCTAGTGTGTGGGGCATACAGGTCGGAGGCAGGGTGACAAGACAAGACTTCTGCCCTCTAGAAGCTTAGCAGGAAATAACAGGCTACAGATAACCATATGACAGTGCAGGGTGTAATAAATTCCACAGCGGTCAGGAATTTGGTGCTCTGACCCTATGGAACAGATTCATGGCGCAGCCCGGTCTAACATACGGGCCTTGAGCTCCGGGATGCGTGTGACCCTCCCAGAGCTGATCCCCGTCTGCGGCTTCTTCCTTGAAGGCCCTCCAAGCCTGGCTTTCATTGCCGTTTGGAAATCTTGCCTGTGGGGGGTATTGTCAGAGAGTGATCTGAGAGGCTTGCTGTCTGTTCAACTAATTACGCTTCAGTCCTCAGAGTGCCTCAGTGCTCTCAATCCTGAATGCTCAGCAGATTTTGTGTAGTATTTGAATTATTAATGGAGATGATATGGGAGAGGGGGCTGGGCTGCTGGTTCTGTTCTGAGCAGGTCCTGGGCGGGTGGCATTACGGGAAGAGAGGCAGCCACTTGCAGAGTGAGGGAAGAAGCAGGCCTTCCCGAGGAGCCCTCCCCAGGCGGGAGCCTGGGCCAGTATGCTCAGAAAATCACAGCCTGCTTTGGAGGAAAGGGTAAGACCCCTTCAACAGTGGGCTTCGCGCAAGAGATGCCCAGGGCTGACAATGCAGATGAAGAGAAGGACGAAACTTGAGGCTGGCCGGTAGCAGGGAGAGGTGGGTCGAGGCGTATCTCGAGGTCCCACTGTGCCCCCTCGGCGGACCTTTCTCACTTGTAAAGCTGTTTCTCCGCTTCTGTTCCGTCCAGCAGCAAAGATCATCCTGATTATTGGGAGCTACTGCAGGTGTTTTCAGTGTGCTTGCTGAGCTCTTTTGTTTGCTCGTTTCTGATGAAAAGCAAAACAAAAAACTGAAAAGCAAGGAACCCTCTTACCACTGATGAAGCCACAGGCTGCCAATTCAGACCATTCCTTTAGAGAACGAAATCCCCTAAATAGTCACATTATAAGGTGGTGATTTTCCTCTCTTAAAAAGTTGTCTTTCTTAGCAAGAAGCAGGTGGATCTCAGCAGATATTTTCAAGGGAGAGGTAGGCATTTGTCTGGGAGTGGGGGTGTGTGGGAAAGACCTAAACCATAACAGAGCAAAAGGAAGGTCAGGGTTCATTTGTGAAAAACATGGCTGCGGAATTGACCTGTGACTGGCGCATTAAGAGCAGTAATGAAGGCATCCGTCCCCTGAACACTGTGTGGCCTCAAAACGCCTGGCTCTGGGGTTGGGGTCCGCCTCGTGGTTGAGCAATGGTAGCACGCAGACAGCTCAGGGCCTCTCGGTGC